GGTAAGTGGAAGGAGGTGAGGGAGGAATGGGGTACAAGCCTCCGATGGGGAGGACTGGGCTGGCTCTGCAGGCTCCTCGGGGTGGAAGCTCTCCTGAAGCCCCTTGATTGCCCCCCCTCCGGATGGCAGCCTGCGACAAGTGCAGCCGGTCTGATGGCCGAGTGCTGTGATGTGCCCAGTGTGGGCACTCAGGGCACTCCAAGACAGGACTGATTTGCAAGCGGGGCACCCCTGAGAACTGTCTGTCCAGGGTGGGGGTCGGGTCCCTTTAAGCTCAGCCCTCGGCTAGCCTGAGACAGCAGCTCCACTCTCTAAGTCCTCATCTGATGCCCTGCCGGCACTGCTTCCGGCCATCCTTAACCTCGGTTCAGGGTCCACTCAGTGAGGACATGCTAGTTCGAATTAGCAAAATGCTAATTCGAACTAGTTTTTAAGTCTAGATGCGCTAATTCGAATTAGCTTAGTTCGAATTAGTGCTGTAGTGTAGAAATACCCCCAGTAACAAATACACAGCAAAGATAAACACACCCAGCCTCTAAGCTTGGGTAGAAAGGACACACAACAGTTATTTACCTTAGCACAAAGATATATACACACTCCCAATTCTATAATCCCCTGCCCTCATCTTTGAATACAACCCAGTTCTAATATTTAACTCTTTATACACTTATTCCTAACCAGGTTTCCATGTTTAGGCCTACATACTTTATTTCCATTCTGTCCTGAATAAATACAATCTTGTATTCTCGCTTACCTTTTACAATTCACTCCTAACTCCTACATATATTGTAACTGGTTAGTTAGGAATTCCATTCATGTCTGAGGTTTACATGTACACGTAGTCTGCTGGCTTGTTTCTGGATGTGCCATTCCAGAATGGAATTGCTCTCAGGATGGCTATTTCCTTGTAGAAACACACAGGTCTTGAGAATGAAGTAAATGGAGGGTCAAGATTGATTCTGAGTCTTTGTTAAAGGCTTAACATTTCCCCATTACTTTTACCCTGTCATGGAGGTGGTCCCAGTCCTTCAAAGAGAGGATCTGCAGGTATCCTCCAGCATGATTCCATGCAATCACCAATTCCATTAACATTCTGAGTTCTGCTTCTATCCTCAGTACTCCAAGGCAAACAGCAGGTGCTATGCTGCTGCAGAACTTTCCCTCTCACATATATATATACACTGGTGGCTTATATCTAGCTCTGGTGGCTTATATCTTTTGTATCTAGCCACACTCTATATGGGACCTGATTTTTGATTTTTCACTCTCACCAATCTCTTTATATCACTGCAGTTTTAATCAGAAATGAAAGTGAAATTGCTAGAAAGTTTGCAATATTTTCAAGATAGCAGAAACTAACAATATCTAGAACTCTTTCAAGAAACTCTGATTGCATTAGTTTCCTAGAGTGATTCCCATACTAGAGAGATCGGAATGAGTATCTAAACAGAGATTTGATACCTTCTGAGGTCATATGCTTAAATCCCTTGGGTTGGCATGTCTAAATGCTAGACTGCTTGTGATATCTGAGATAATTGGAAACGGGTTGCATAACCTGATGTCCAATCTTCAAGGCCATGAAAGAATTCTGAAAACCCACAGAATTAAGGGTTTAAAATAACCCAGCCATACCAGACACTTCCTTGCCTAGCGCCAGCACTGATACTGAACACCTTGCTATGTGTCCAACTCCTTACCGTGGAGTCTGGACCATCCAGAACACTTTGAATCAGTCTCTTCAGCTCATTGAGACCGGCTCGTAGACTGCCAGCAGGGACATCTTTGGCTGATGAGGTTTCTGAAGACTCATCCATGGAGGAGTCTGTGGAGACTGCAGAGTCCGCGCTGTCATTTCCTCTGAGATGAGAACAGAGATATCTGATTTGGCAATAGGCCTCCCAGAGCTGCAGTCTCAGCTGGAACAAGACAGCATTATATTAGTCCATGATTTTAGGGACCCATGAGATTCTATTTTTTGTAGACTTCCAGGATGTGACCATGTCATTAGCTACAAAAGTTTGTTGATGTACCCTAGTCTGGATGCAATATTAATGAAAAACAACAATTACTTATCTAGTGCTTTTCATCTAGAAGTCTCAAAATATTATTACCTGCATTGCACTGATAGGGAAACGGATACAGAGAGATTACTTTATTTGCCTAGTCATACATGATGAGGCAGCATAAAAGACAGAGATAGAACCCAGATTTCTTAACAGACAGCCTAGCACCATGTCCATTGGAGTACATTGTCTCACTGAACAGCCAGGATGTGTTTGGCTTTTGCTCTTTTTATGTGTGTATGTGTGCGCACACATGGATTTTAAATGAATTTTACAATATATGTTAGCAATGCAGTCCTTCCTCTCTCTTCTAATTGGTGTGCTTCTGTTTCCCTAGGTAAGTTCACATCAGCATGTGCATGTGTATTAATGCAGTGCTCTATCAGATGAAAAAGAAATCTTGGATGACTACTGTGTGGTTTGGACTTTGGGTTTCTTAACTGAAATCAGTAGCAGCTTTGTGGAATGTGGTGCAATTCTTTGCCATTTGCACTAGTCTGCTATGCTTTGTAGCTATGTCCTGTGAATATGTTTACACATCACCATGTGTGCATTCATGTGGTACACATTTACAAAGATTCATACGCTTTCACAGTGGGTAAGGATGATCATACTTGTTCTCTCTCCTGTTCCTGCTCTTCTGCCTCCATGCTCTGCTCAATTTCAGATAGCAAGGATGTGCTGGTTGTGTTAAAACTTTGGAGACTTCTCTCCTCGCTAAGCTCTTCTACCTTTCCCTGGAGTTGCCGATAGGACAGCCGCACCTCCTGGAGCTCCAGTTGACTTTGATGCAGCTTCCAAAGGAAATAAAAGGAAAAAACAAAACTAGTGAATATGACTGAGACCAAGATGAATTGCTCAGCTCATGAAGAACCTTGATGGGAGCCCTGAAAAGAGGTTTCCATGCATATGGGAAAAACAGTCTTTGCTGGTTTGTCTACTTTCTGAAGTTTAACTGTCTAATATTATTACCAAAACTTTAAAAGAATCAGACATGAACTGGGATCTAAAATATGCTGAAGGCTCACAATTACTAGGTTACTTATGCCTAAAATATGTTATAAAGAATTCCTGAAAGAATTAAGAAAAAACAAGGTAATTCAATATTACAGAAACAACTGAATTTTTAAAAAAGTCACACAACTATTTGTGATTCAGAGATATAATTAAACACTGATCATTTAAACCCCAACATATCTACTACATCTATAATTAACAGAGAACCATTTCACTAATTTTTAACTCTGGTTATCTGAATGTTTCAGATATCCCTCACAGGGAAGAAAGTAACTTAAGTTTCCTTCAGGTAGAGCTGTACTGTATTTCCCGGGGGGAGGAGAAAGGGGGAGGCCTCAGGACAGGGAGTGCGATAAAACAATACATATAAGAAATTTAAGTGGAGGGTGGAGTGGGGGGGGCACTCAGGGCAGGGGGTAGGGATGTGG